TAATTATATATAAATTAGGTACTGTATATATAATTATATATTAACTTATTGTAACTTTATTATAATTAAATATATAATTTTCGCCGTCTAGCGTGGCGCCACGCTACGGAGATTTTAGGCAATAAGTTGAGTTCATTATCGTCTGTACAGTATGTAAATTAGGTACTGTAAGTCTAATACAGCACTAATTTTATACATTTCTTGTGAAAGAAACACTTCTTATTCAACGGCCATAAAAATTATTTATATTAATGATGTCTCCAAAGGTCAAGTTATTTTTCTGCGAAAAATTCGTTATCAGAAATCGTGGCCGTCGTTTCGTGTGCTGTTCCGCGACGAAAACAAGCTTTGAGCAACGGTGTAGTCGAATGGTGCACACTCGGTAAGTAATCCTATAATTTTTTGTTTGTAGCATAGTTTATACAGATTATTCCCAAAAAATTATACGTGTTTTAAAAATGTTGAGTGGAATTAGCCTAGAATCGGTTAATTTTATAGAAGAAAACCTTTCAAACAGCCTTAGTCTGTAAACTTCCCACCTATCGGGCTGCGATTGGCTCATGTATTTAATCGTTCCTACAACATAAAATTTGATTAACTTGGAACGTATCTAAGCGTTATAGGGGGGTCTACTGTAATTTAGCAAACAGGTATGCAGGGATCAACTCAAAAGAATTCATATGTTTTCTAGGAAAACAAGAAATAAAATTAACATTTATATCTTCCAATTATTTGGCAAGTAATGGCTTATGTGAAAGCGTTAACCAAGCCATCATAACCCGGTTATGCTGCAAGATGAATGAAAACAGCAGGGTCAGTTGTTGGTAAATTACTCAAAACAGTAATGGAAGAATATAACAATTCCCCTCCCTCAGTAACGAGTTTTTCACCAAAATATGTCATGATCGGCATTCCACCATTCCCCAAGTCATACTGAATGCTCTCCCACCAGTAGAAGAAGCTAGAAAACTGGCTTACAAAAGTACTCAAAGGAAGTAGGAAGTGAATAAGAATTATTTCAATAACAGACACCAGAAGGTAACATTAAGTCCAGTGGATCTAGTACTAGTCTATATATATAAAAATGAATGTATGTCTGTCTGTGTGTCTGTCTTATGTCCTTCATGCATTACCACACCGTTTATCCGATTGCCATGAAACTTTGGGAAGTTGTTTAGTATACTCCCGCGCAGGTTTCTGGCATAGTACGATTGCCATGAAACTTTGGGAAGTTTTTTAATACATTCCTGCGAAGGTTTCTGGCATAGTACATTTATCCTACGATAGATGGCACGCGTTTATACGAGCATTCGAGCACTGTGTGTTCAATCGATTTCAAATTGTGAAAACCATTTCTCCCTTCAAAAAATATTTCTATATATGCATTTGTTATTTACGATATTTCTAATAATTTTTGTTTAATCACTTTATTTCAACTTTTTTTTTGCTAATTATGTATTCGCTCGAACTTCGTTAAAACCTTAACTGTACCCCGAACAACAACCGAAGTTGTAGGAAGAAATTTGCGTATTTTACCGATCTAGGTATCCCCCCTTTTCCAAATTTTAATATTGACTCAAAATAATTTAAAAAGACAAATTACAATAAAACGGTTTATTATCCAACTATCAGAAATTTCACAACATGCCAAGGAAGAGAGGAAGGAGCAATTAAATAATTAAAATTATAAAGGATTAAAAAAATATATATATATTAATGGGGAATATCACACTTCTGACAATCGCTGCCAGTGTGTGGGCTAAATTTGGAGAATCCGTGCTTCTCACATCGGAAAACCTTCTGATTTATTCGTGTACGCACCAGACGGAAAAACAAAAAGTATCATGTATCCACAAACACTCCAATAAATAAATAGAATTGAAATGACACTTTGAAATGTTTTCCCGATGAAAATGAATAATAATAATATGTTTCAATAAAAATGATAAAATGTAAATTGAATTTTATCATAACAAGTTTGCTTGAATTTCCTTTCTTCTGAGATAGCAGCAATGCGCGGCGGGTAAGCTAGTTGAAAATATAAATGCAATCACATGGAAAAAATTAGAACTTCTAATGTCTGGACCATATAGAGTAATAAGACAAGTATCAAAATATACTATATGAAATAGAATGAGGGAGAAAAAAAACTGCCAGACATGTTCCACATATCCAAGTTACATTTATACATCAATCCACTCTTTAATCTACAAAGTGGGAAGATGTAAAGGTGTAGATAATCCCCAAAACTAGAAGTATGATTCAATGTGTAAAGACCGATGATGGTTGAAACAATAGAGCAAGCATGGAACAAAAGAAGAAAGAAACAGAAGCTTCGAGAAGGTCAAGAAGGAAGGACCACATTTAAATGACGGAAATCAAAAGATGGGAAAAAGAAACTTTAAATATATATATATAAATAAATGAAAATAATTACTTACTTATTCCTGCTCGAACAGTTGGTGATGATGGAATGGCAGCTGCAAAATTTTGTGTTGGTGGAGGACCTGTGTATTGATGCATTGTAATAGTATTTTGCACAGGAAATGATTCATAATAAAAAGTTCTTGATGGTATAGGAAAGGTTCTTGAAGCAAATCGAACAGATGCTCCACTATTTAAAAATAAATTATAAATTACAACAGAAATCACATAAAACACGTCCATATTTTACTTATATACAAGATAACTATTTACTTAAAAATTCTCTTATTGTATAATTAATACATTTAACACAATTCAAAACTTTCATAATTATATAAGTATAAAATTAAATAATTTCATAATTATAAAATATAATTAAATATTTTCATAAGAGTAAATACTCATAATCACTCACTAATTTATCCCATGCCTTTTTGCTTATCTTTATTTAAGCATTCCTTCTTTTACTATATTACCTCAAAAACTATTAATTGCAAGAATATTATCCATTATGAATAAGCAAAATTCAAACAGATATTTAAAAAATGTATGCATGTCTCATTAAATCACTAATTGGATAAATAGTATACACTGTGTAACTGTTGTTATGGTGCTTTTACTTTTATGGTTTTATTTTCTTATTCTGGTACAGTAGAGCATCGATTATCCAAATTAATTGGGGACTGGGGTTGTTCGGATAACTTATTTTTCGGATAACGAATCATGTACGAAAAAATATATAAATTTATCCCATGTTGAAATTTTTCTCCGTTGCGTGTCGCTTCACGTTGAATTTTCGTCGATGTTAAGCCTAACGAAGACTATTGTATCGTTAAAAATTATTTTTTTATTTTGTACAAACAAAATAAATATATTAAAAAATATAAAAACAATAAAAAATTATACTTCAGAAGTTAATTTAGTATCAAAAACGTAAAATATTTGATTAGCCGAAGACATAGCCAAAGATTACAGCGCCACAGCACTGGCAAAAATTTAAATTTGCCGACTGGAATTCTTTCGGATGATTGACTTTCGGATAATCGATGCTCTACTGTATTGTTAAGGTTTTACTGCTTTATCCATTTACATATATTTACTTAATTGTATTGTAAATTTTGTTTATTGTATTGTTGTAATTTACATACAGGCCTATTATTAGATAACTTATACTCATTGCTTATATTTTACATTTTTTTTTTTTGCTATTGTTTTTCTTTCTTGTAATATGGGCAATTGTTCTGGGCAGGCATTTTTTTTCTCATCAAGACTTAACTATTTGTAATTTAAAGAATAAAGAATTATTAGAGAATTACTATAGACACTATTTTAATTTAAACATTTACAGCTTTTTCTAAACTTACTTTTTAAAAATTTTTAACTATTTTGGATAAATGTCAATTTTTCAATGGAAAAAGAAAATTTCTTAAACTGCTCTTCACAATAAACATTTCAATTCTTTTCATCAAAAATCATAGTTTTGTCAAAAAAATGAAATTAGAAATAATTTTCATATAATTCTACTATTAAAATTCATAATATGCTGTTTTAGAATTAATTATTTATATTTAAAAATAATTAAAAATTAACAATTTAAAATTAAAACTTTATTTTATAAAAATATAAAAGAAAAATGTCCTTGAGTGGAACACTTAGCTTTTGGAAAGTAAAAATAGGTACTTATTAACTTTGAGTATGTTTTACATGACTGCTTTATATATGTTTGTGGGATACAGCTTTTTATTCACTGAAATTAAGTGTAACATGTATCACTGCTTTTTCAAAGAAATTTTGTAACATTTTATTGATATTAAAAATGTTCATTATTTTTGGATTAAACTGTCATACATTCTGATCACCGAACAAATTCAATTATCACTATACTAAATAATAAAATTAAATAACAGTATTTTGTCAGTAATATCTGTCAAACAATTTCCTACAAAAAGTTGGTGGACAATTCTCTCTGAAGTTTCTCTCTGAAGTTGATGGACAGTTCTTTCTATCATTTTACAATTATAATAATAATTGTTCATAATCATAAAATTTATGTGATTTCTACATTTATGATTATGAACAACAGATAGAGAAATCAGCTGATAAAAAGTTTTCTAGAGTGAAAACATATTTCCTAGATAAAATTTCATAATTAAAGCAAAATTATTGTCTATTTGTTCTTTTCAAAACTTTATTTTATTTTCCATAAAAATCCACAAAATTACAAGAGAAAAATATTACAGGTTATATCTAGGAAAATTTTTAGAAAGCCATAAAAAAACTTTTAATATTATTAAAAAATACTTTTAATATTATATCATAGTATTACACAAACTATGCTATAATAATACAGGATTATTATAAATGAATCATTGTATTTTAAATTTAAAGTCTTGTAACTTTTAAATTATCGGGCTGGGCCATCCACATCAAACACAAAACAGAAGAGAAACTCTCCAAATTTGAAACTCATGAAGATTTCTTTGCGACACACCAGGTGGCAACATAACATCCATTGTCAAAATTGTGGCTATGCAGCAGAAGACGTTTCTGATGACTCTGTCTTCCAGTAGGATGGGGCTCCACCTCATCAGCATACTGAGGTGCATTGATATTTGAATGCAAACTTTCCACACTACTGAAAGTGTACAGGGAAAACAACAGGTAAAAAATAAAAAATTAATTTTTTTTGAATAAGAATTCCTTCTTTGCAAAAATTGGCACACCAGTATAATAGTCCTATTAACATAATAAGTCCTTAGTTGACAATAATATAATAATGTATAATATAAGGACATAAAGGCAACTGAATTAATTTCCATACTACTAGATTGGGCATTGCAGTAACAATGACTTAGAACTGTATAGATGCCTCCCAGATCTCTGGACCTCACACTGTGATGTTTTTCTATCTAGGCATGTAAACGATGTGGTTTATGTTCCCCCATTACCCACATCATTTGGCAGAGCTCCAGGAATGCATTACTGGTGCAATTATGACAATCCAGGGAAACATGCTATAACGTGTAATGCAAACTGCACTACCACTTTGACATGTGTCATGTTACGAAAGGAACACATGTAGAACATCTGTAGTCTTATAACAAAAGTTTCTAGTTCTTTTAATGTATCACTTATTGTTAAATCTGAATTACTGTCAAAAATACAGTTGCTTGAAATTTGATGATTTATTTATAACAACCCTATACTTTTAGATGATGAATTATAAAACCACCAAGAATGCAGTTGATTTCCTTAAATAGAATTTTAAAATCATTTTATGTTTATTTCAAAGTATGTTTTTGAATGACCATGCAAAGTTAAGTATAATAAAAATGAAGTTAAAATATGTATACTTATTTTGCTCGAAAATATAAATATTAACATCATGTTAAAAATTAGTATGCATAATAAAGTATTGTAACCAATATACTGAAAATACTTTACAAATGTAGTAATGAATTTTATTTGCAAAAATACACTGATATTTTGCCCAAAATTCAAAGATATTTTAGCAGATTGAAAACAGGTTGATTTTATAATTATTTTACTCCACCTGACTCTACAAGCATTAAATAAAATATTAAACAGGATTATTTAAAAAGATTTGTTTTTTTTTTACCTTTCATTTCGATTATCTGATAAAACTACTGTTGTCACAGTAGCTGCACCAGATGTCAAATTCTGTTGTGGTTGGGCCACATATATATTTCCTCTTGGAACTTCTGATGTTTCAAAAACAGAATGAGTTGTAGTAGGGAGTTGTTGTGGATATACTTTTGCTAGAAGAAGAATCAGTTAAATATTTTAATAAAACTTAAAATTAAAGAATACGATATAAAGTTAAATAATTAAGACTGACTAACAAAAATTCTAATTATTCAAGGTTTCAACATAGTAATGCTTATAACAAACAAAACTTACTAATACATCTTTTCTTGCAGCCAAAGTTTATTACTTCAAATGTTTTCAGTCATGTTAAATGACCTTTCTCAAGAAAAAGAAAGCAAATAAAAGATAAAAACTGTAAAAATCAAACGCTTAGTACAAATGAACAAGCTTTTCAAATGTTTTTGAACTAGCCTATAATCTGTTGCAATTAATGACGTCAGTTTTAACATTGCAACGGAAGTATAAACAATCCTAAAGATTATGTAAATATCTAAAAATCATAAGTACAGAGAGTTACTACCTCTGATCATCGTGCATAAATACATAGCTTAGAATATAAGGATGCATAGTATCTGCTTTCTTCAATTATTAAGGCTTTATATTAAACTTGAGGACCATGCTGCCGATATTTTTGTCGATTCTTGAAAGTTGATTGCAAGGCCTTTATGGTTTGCTTTACAAATCTGCCAGGCTTCTGCATAATGCCGGTGTTTACGGTCTTGAACTACCTGCAGTAGTCTTGCTTGGTCCCATTCGGCTTTGACGTCTTGCGGGTCCGCTAAAACATATGTGGCCAGCGCAGTGCATGGTTGTTCCTTTCTTACACTTCCTTGGTGTTCTGCTAACCTGTCCTTGATACATCTTCCTGTGGCTCCTATATACATTAATTTATTACGTCACTGTGAGTCCGTAATTGGGATTTTATAGACACCGGGGAGTGTGTTTCTGTCCACTTCATCCTTATCGGATTGTAATAGTTGGTAAGTGGTGGGGGTTCTTTTATATAGGATTCTTTTGTTCTTGGCTTTTCCGATGCATTGAAAGATATTAGTCAGCGATGCATTATAATACGATGCATCCTTATATTCTAAGCTATGTATTTATGCGCAATGATCAGAGGTGGTAACTCTCTGTACTTATGATTTTTAGATATTTACATAATCTTTAGGATTGTTTATACTTCCGTTGCAATGTTAAAACTGACGTCATTAATTGCAACAGATTATAGGCTAGTTCAAAAACATTTGAAAAGCTTGTTCGTTTGTACTACAGCGTTCGATTTTTACAGTTTTTATCTTTTATTTGCTTTCTTTTTCTTGAGAAAGGTCATTTAACATGACCGAAAACGTTTGAAATAATAAACTTTGGCTGCAAGATAAGGTGTATTAGTAAGTTTTGTTTGTTATTAATAGTATGCAGTCTAGAACGAATAGTAATGCTTATTTTAAACATCCAAAAACTTTATGGTCAAAAAACCTATTCAGCTCTTTTTCAGTCACCATCAGGTCTAATCAATACATAAAAAAGGTATTTATAGAACAATATTCAAACTTAAAATTTAAACATTTAATATATTAAAAAATAAAATACACCTAAGTGTATGACAAATTTAAACTAATGGAATATATTCAAATTTGGAATGAAATGGTTAATTAAACAAATTCAATATGTTTGAAATTAAACAATAAAATTAAAATATTTGCAAATATTTTTAAGAAAGCATTTTCAAAAAATGACGACACCCACAGAATGAGGAATTAATTCTTTAATTGAAAACTAAAACTGAATGATAGAATAATCAACAACTTTTAATCCATAAACATTTTTGGCCACATTTACCATTATCTTTAAGTTTGAAATATATGTGTAAAAGTTATTATACAATTAGTTTATATGCATGTGATAATATTGACAATTCTAGCTATTCAGTTTTACAACAATTTATATTCATATTTATATATAGTGGTACCTCAGGATACAAACACCCCAGCATACAAAATTTTCAGGATACGACATGAAATTTGAACATATTTTTGCTCCACGATATGAACAAAAACTCACCATATGACGTTACATTAGTTTGCAGCACCATTTTTTATTCACTTCTATTCATTGGTCTCAGTCCGCGTGTTTGCTTCGTCATGGAAGGATCTCGCTCGATAAAGGAAATCTTGAGGTATTTTCAGAAAGTGACTGATTTTATTGAAAAGAAACATCCCGAAAAGGTTCACACTGGCTGTATTGCTGCTCGGAGTAATAACATTTGCCTAAGTCATTTTAGAAACATTTTAAAAAGTAGGCAAAGCCAAACCTCTTTGCCTCTTTGGATAGATATTTTACCAAGTAACCTCTATCCAGTGAAAGTGCTGGTGGAAGTGAAGGAAAAAAGCAAAATGCAGTGAATAAAAATTTTATTTTTATTCACTGTTATTTTTAAGTTATTGTTACATTATGTTATGTAAGTTAAGTTTTAGTATCATTTCCCTTCTCCCTCTCTTCTGCCACCAGTTTACACCTCCACCGTCGTCTATCCTCAAAGGTAAAGTGCAAATAAAACTACATTTTTTTTTAATCAATTATTATTATATTATGGTTATTTATACATTTACAACTACAGAATGCATTTTTCAGTGTTTTCCTTACTATAATTATTTTTTTAAATGTACTACTTAGCTTTAATTTGAGTGTGTTTTTCGTGTTGAAACGAATTATTTGGTTTTACATGTAATCATATGGGGAAAAATGATTCACCTTACAACATTTTCATGATACGATCTCAGTTTCGGAACAGATTAATTTCGTATCCTGAGGTACCAGTGTATGTTAAACCTTAATTTTGTATTTTTAAATAATATTTTATTTTTGAACATAAAAAGATATTCAAAAATACACAAGTGTTTCTATTCTGTAATTACTTACTGTATTTTGTGCTCAGAGTTTGCACTTAACTACAAAATCTGTGAGTCAAATTGACTTGCTTGTTCTAAAACTAAAAGTCAGAAAACATATACAAGACAAGAACCCTGCATTTCACTTGTGCAGACCATCAATCACACAAGATGACCCTCAAAACTTCTAAGCCTACAGGTCAAAAACAAAATTGAGGAAACTCCAAATAAACAGAAAATTGTACACATATTGCTAAGAACAAATTAAAAGGAAGTTACAGATTCATTTCTTATGAAAAAATATTAAGCCTCAGTTACATTGTGCACTTCTTGTCACCAGTGATGAGTTCTACCAAAGACCTTATAAAAGTTGATTGTTTAATATGTTGCCATATGTCATAATCATGGCAAAATTGTTTGACTTTATTGTTGTTGCATTTATTTTTCATGTAAGTCATATAAACTGAATGTAAACACAATAACTTTAAAATTAAGTCACATGTCAAATGATAATACAAATTAATATATAAAATTTTTCTTGTGCTGAAATGTACTAAGCTGCCTAAAACAGTAAATTAGAATAAAATAAATGTCATGTTAGTTAAAAAAAATCATCAAAACAAAGTTAAAACAATAGTAAAAATAAACATAAACAAACAACCAATTTTATTGGAAATTTTCTGCAAGTTGACTTTCACTTGCAGTATTGAAAACAGTGAATAAAGTTGGGTGAAAAAATTACCAATTTTCATGTCAAATGTAAGTTCTGATTATTTGTTACATATTTCAAAACTGAAGACAGATGATAAATGCAGCCAAAAACATTTGTTATTTTTTTTAATAATCAATTGTTGAAACAAAGGCTCTTTTTTATTCTAGTTCTTTAATGATAATGCCATTGCTTTCTAATTCTTTGTCAAACAATAATAAAATTTCTGAAATTATAAAGATATGAAAAATATTCCAATATGAGTAAATGTGTGAAAAAAACAGCTAATCTGTCAATTTTCTTCTTTTAAAAATAAAAATTGATAAGCAAATGATTTTAATTTGCATTATTATGCAAATTTTTACTAAAAACTAAAACTGTTATAATACTTTATACTAAAAACTGCAAAAAATGGTTAAATTTATTTTTTCCCTATATCATTTATTTTTATAAGTTTTATATATTTCCTTTGATATTATTTATTTATTTAGTATAAATGGAAACATCAAAGATGATTGTATTCCACCCCCTGATAACAAGAAATAAAAATCCCCAATAAAATAATAATAAAAAAATATAAAGGGGGCACTCTGATCGTCAAAGCTGTTGGTGTGAATTTTTTCTCACTTCCATACTTAGTCTAATTTTTCAGGAAATGAAGAATTTTGAATTATTTTCAACTAAAAGGAATAACATTAAGCTTCTTATTTTATTGTTATTGATTGCTGGAATAGAACCAAATCCCGGTCCCTTACAGAAAACTCCAACAAAGAGAGGGAGACCACCACTTACTCATCAAAAATTGCTGACTAATAGTATCAAAGCATTGGAACCAGATTCAAACCTTATCACTGATTATACTGAACCTAGAAGAGCCGAATCATTATTTCAAACAGGTGAGCTAATTAATTTAACTTCCTCACAAGAACAATTACCTGCGGAACAAATAGACATTTCAACAGCAGAATTATGGAATAAGATAGTCAAACTGATAACTAATAGTAATGATAAGTTGGTGAGTCAATTTTCACTTATAAGACAAGAAATTAATATAATTCAAAATGAAATTAAAGAATTTAAAGATCAAATTCAACAAATAAGGATAAGAAATGATAAAATAGAAAATGAATTTACCAAACTAAGACTAGAAAATGAATTAACTCAATATAAACTGGATACTATGACTAACACTATGAATAATAATAAAATCATAATTTATGATTATACAAATCAGCTTAAAAATATTATTAAAAATGAATTAGCAACATTTTTTTCTAATACTTTAAAAATAATTTGAAGCAAATCAGAAGATATAGTAAATATATACTCAATACCTAATTCAAATATTCAAATTGCATAGTATTAGAATCAAACCAATTAAGAAATAAAATCCTTGCAACCTTTAATAAATTGAAATATAATAAGACACTGGGAAATTAGCAAGAAATTAATATGTCAACTGATTTAAATAAAGATTCTAGCAAAAGAAGAAAATAACTTTTACAATATTATA